TGCAGGAGCTATCTCACTGAGCTTGCTTTTGTGCTGGTATAATTACTTAATCTGAGCACTCCTAGGGTGAATTACTTTGTGTGCAGAAAGCAAGCACCATTGCTTTGATTCAAGCTCCCAAAGGGGAATTGAGTCTAGTTTTAATTTTACTGTTTTAAAGTTGCAAATGAATGTCCATTGTCAAAAGAGACTCACATATGTGTTTGTGCTTCTCTCCAAGCCGCAGCATATTTTTGATTTTCATCGTCATTATTATGGAAATAAATACAGTATGTCCCGTTTAGAGTAATATTTAACCCCTCCTTTGTTTCCTCACTTCTTTAAAGGATTTTATGGATGGTGTAGGGAATGATCCACAGTGCATTAGTGCAGAGTGTGTAGTGTGCTGTTTTCTGTTGTTTGCTGTTTATAATGGGCCTGTGCAACACTTAACTAGAATGGAGGCCCATCAAGGCAGACTGATAAGGACCTAGGGATCCACCATAGTCAATTACTGCAAAGTGCCAAGTTCAACTCAGCGGGCCTTTTATGAAGTACACCAGCTGAGTAAACAAATTAATCGTACGGCTGTGGTTCCCCAATCCAACCATGCGACCCAGGGCAATCATACATCAGACAGAGTGAGCGGCTGTCTCCACCAGGAAGGGTCCTACTATTAAAGATAGGCAACCACATAGGACTCATTAGCTATTGGCCATCGCACTTGTTTTGCTTCTCGACTGCACTGTTCTCTTTTAATAGCTTTTAACACCCCGAAACTGCCTTTGTATGAAGATGGAGGTGATGTTTAAGAATTCTGCCATTTCCAAATGCCTTGTCAGCACAGCAATGCCGATAAAACAAAGTAATTAGAAAAACATTGTCCTGCTAAAATCTACCGTTAAAGGAAAAAGAAATATTTTTGAATATATATGTGTATATATATGTGTGTATATGTATATATATAAAATAAAAAAACACCCAGCACGCCCCTGCGGGCGGTTTATCCTTCAAGCTCGGGTCCTCTACCAGAGGCCTGGGAGCTTGAGGGTCCTGCGCAGTATCTTAGCTGTTCCCAGGACTGCGCTCTTCTGGACAGAGATCTCCGATGTTATTCCCGGGATCTGCTGGAGCCACTCGCCTAGCTTGGGAGTCACCGCACCTAGTGCTCCGATTACCACGGGGACCACCGTTACCTTCACCCTCCACATCCTCTCGAGCTCTTCTCTGAGCCCTTGGTATTTCTCCAGCTTCTCGTGTTCCTTCTTCCTGATATTGCTGTCATTCGGAACCGCTACATCGATCACTACGGCCGTCTTCTTCTGTTTGTCTACCACCACTATGTCCGGTTGGTTAGCCACCACCATTTTGTCCGTCTGTATCTGGAAGTCCCACAGGATCTTAGCTCGGTCATTCTCCACCACCCTTGGGGGCATCTCCCATTTTGACCTCGGGACTTCCAGGTTATACTCGGCACAGATGTTCCTGTACACTATGCCGGCCACTTGGTTATGGCGTTCCATGTATGCCTTGCCTGCTAGCATCTTGCACCCTGCTGTTATGTGCTGGATTGTCTCTGGGGCATCTTTACACAGCCTGCACCTGGGGTCTTGCCTGGTGTGATAGACCCCAGCCTCTATGGATCTTGTACTCAGAGCTTGTTCTTGTGCTGCCATGATTAGTGCCTCTGTGCTGTCTTTCAGTCCAGCTTTGTCCAGCCACTGGTAGGATTTCTGGATATCAGCCACCTCCTCTATCTGCCGGTGGTACATACCGTGCAGGGGCCTGTCCTTCCATGATGGTTCCTCGTCTCCCTCCTCTTTCTTGGGTTTCTGCTGCCTGAGGTATTCACTGAGCACTCGGTCAGTTGGGGCCATCTTCCCAATGTATTCTTGGATGTTCCTTGTCTCATCCTGGACTGTGGTGCTGACATTATATATATATATTATATTATAATAATAGTATATATATATATATTATATAGTATATATAGTAATATATATTTAAGGTATGATATATAGTATACTATATATATATTATATATATGTATATATATATAGCTAATATAATATAGTAGTATATAGTATATATAGTATATATATGATATAGATATATATAATATATAGTATATATATATATATTAGTATATAATAGCTATTAGTATATATATATATATATATATGTTACTTAATATATGGTATATATATGAATAGTATATATATAGCTATATGTAGTATATATATATATGTATAATATATATATGTAGTATTAGTATATATATGTATATATATATATAGTGTATATGTATATATAATATATATATGTATAATAATATATTATATATAATACGTATATTATCTATGATATATAGTGTATAGTATTATGTATGATGTGTGTATGTGTATCAGTATAGTATCTATAGTTATTGTGGTGTATGTTAGTATATATTATATATAGTGTGTGTATGGTATATATAATACTACTAGTGTGTGTAGTGTATATATATAGTATATAGAATGTGTGTTGTGTGTGTATGTGTGTGTGTGTATATATATATGTATATGTATGTGTGTGTATGTGTATATATATATATGTATGTGTGTGTATGTATATATATATATGTGTGTATGTATATATATATATGTGTGGTATGTATATATATATATGTGTGTATGTATATATATATATATATATATATGTGTGTATGTATGTGTATATATATGTATATGTATGTGTATGTATATATGTATGTTGTATATATATATATATGTATATATGTATATATATATATATATGTATATATCTATATATATATTGCATGTGTATATATATATATATGTTATATATATATATATAGTATATATATATATATAGTTTATATATTATATAGTTATATATATAGTATATATTATATATATAATGTTATATATACTATAATAATTAATATGTATATATTATTGTGGATATATATATGTGTATGTATATATATATGTATGTATTATTTATGTGATATGTATATATTGTAGTATTGTGATGTATATATTGTTATATATGTATATATATTATATATGTATATATATAGTATTATGTGTATATATGTATATATATTATATATATGTATGTATATATATATATATATATATATATATATATGTATATGATATATATGTATATATATATGATGTATATATATATATATATGTATATATATATATGTATATATATATATATGATGATATATATATGTATATATATATATATTTATGATATGTATGATATATATGTATTGTATGTATAGTATGTATATGTGTATGTATGTATATGTGTATGTATATATATGTATATGTATGTATATGTGTATGTATGTATATGTGTATGTATGTGTATGTATGTATGTATGTGGCAAAAATTGGTTTACAGGTGCACATGCATGAATCTGTGTTTTGTGTTCAAATGAAGCAAAGAAGCAGTTTAAAAAGTTCAATATACACTATAAAACCAAAAGTATTCAGTCACCCATCCAGATCATTGAATTCAGGTGTTCCAATCACTTCCATGGCCACAGGTGTATAAAGTTGCACAATCTGATATCGTCGTGTTGGGTTGTTCCCAGATCAACATAGTAAATGTTGTTCCAGGATCAACATTGCAAGTGACCAATCAGAATGTTGTGACGTCATACTTTTGCGAACTTCGGGAAAAACCGCCGTAAAACAAAAAACTGTACTTAAGCTGCGAGAAACCGCCTCTGTCCGCCGATCAACGGACCCTAACCCTTTAATAAACGCTAAGCAGAATTGATATTGTCCTTGCAACATTGGAATTTCATAAATGCACGAATGGCTTGGCGCGACCAAAGAATAACGTCACAACAATGTGATTGGTCACTTGCAATGTTGATCCTGCAACAACATTTACTATGTTGTTCCAGGAACAACACCAGCACGACGATATCAGATCATACGTATAAAGTCAAAGACCTAGGCATGCAGACTGCTTCTACAAACATTTGTGAAAGACTGGGTCGCTCTGAGGACCTCTGTGAATTCCAGTGTGGTTCCATGATTGCAACAAGTTCAGTCGTGAAATGTTCTCTCTACTAAATATTCCACAGTCAGCTGTTAGTGGTATTATAACAAAGTGGAGGTGACTGGGAATGATAGCAACTCAGTCATAAAGTGGTAGGCCACGTAAAATCAGAGAGTTTGCAGAGGTCACCAACTTTCTGCAGAGCCATTCACCACAGATCTCCAAACCTTATGTAGCCTTCACATTAGTTTCATGTCAGGAATGTGTTTATGGTCAAATAAACATGCTCCTAAACCTTATGAAGCTGTTATATCTGCAAAGGATGGGACGACATCATATTAAACCCTATGGATTATGAATGAGATGACACTCAAGTTCATGCGTATGGAACCATTGCTTGAGGTGCAGACTGGCAGTAAATACCATAGACCAGGGGTGGCCAACTCCAGGCCTCATGAGCCGGTGTCCTGCAGGTTTTAGATAACACCCTGGGTCAACACACCTGAATCAGGCCTCTGGAGAACTTCAAGACATGTTGAGGAGGTAATTTAGGCATTTAAATCAGCTGTGATGGATCAAGGACACATCTAAAACCTGCAGGATGCTGGTGTTCCGAGAAACCGTCCTACTCTTGCAAATTGTCCTACCTGTATTATAATTTGACTTTTGACTAATCCAAACCCTAACCATAAGAAATATTCACAATGGGTTAAAAAAATGATGTAAATTTGGGGTTTGTGTTACGCGCATGCACAGCGTATGTGCAGAAACAACGGGTAGGATGGTTTGTGAGGGAGGATAGATTCCCAGAACACCGGCTCTCGAGGCCTGGAGTTGGTCACCCCTGCCTGAGAGGGTTACCTATGCACTATCTAGTTGGACAATCTAATTCAGGGGTGGGGCACTCCAGGCCTCAAGGGCTGTAGTCCTGCAGGTTTTAGATAACACCCTGGGTCAACATACCTGAAACAAATGATTAGTTCATTACCAGGCCTCTGGAGAACTTCAGGACATGTTGAGGAGGTAATTTAGACATTTACCAGCTGTGTTTTAGACTCATCTAAAACCTGCAGGACGCCGGCTCTCGAGGCCTGGAGTTGGCCACCTCTGCCATAGAGGGTTACCTATACACTATGTAGTTGGATAATCTAGTTGCAACCAGCAGCTAGCTTCAAGGAATAAACACCAAGCAAATGACCTGCAGTGTGGATGCACGTTTAAACAAAAAATATATAAAAATAATTTTTAAAAAAAACCCATCAAGTAAAGCAAGGAAATATCAGGACGATATATACATTTTAAGTTATTTTGTTTTCCCTCAAACACAGTTATTTACCCAAGACTTTCTTTCTTCACTATCTTATTGATGACAGCTGATGAACTACTACAACTTTAGTCTTTCCATTATTGGAACCAACTCAAAATGAGACTTTTAAATCATAGTTAAACACTTTTAGAGCCTCTTGGAGTGAGAAAATATAAGGTTAGTAGTCAGATCCCAGGTCCCAGCTTCCATAGATAATGACTGTTGCTTTTCAGCCCCCTCCACCCCCAGTAATCACTATAATGCACAGTCATCTCCTACACCAGAGAGGGCCACAGTACATGTCTCTGCATGAGAATATTGGCCCAAAGTTATCTGCAATTGCAATCACATTACACCAAGTTTAAACTAAGTTATAAAATTGCAATGCTTAAACAGCAGTTTGCAAACTCTAAGGAACACAAGTTATTTGTTGAGTTTGAAGTGTTTCGAATATATTATTGTTTATTTCAAGTTCTGCAACAATATGTGTTTGTGTAGGCACAAAATCTAAAGTAAAGCTTTAGCGCTGGCAGTTTTAGGCCATATTTGGCTTATTGATAATAAATAAATAAGCACAGCAGAGCACCACAGAGAAAATCTATTCATAATTGGATGAAAATATTCAGAATCTTGGATTTCAAAAAGGATTTTCGATTCCACCAAAACATTTTGATTTGATTTTCATTTCCCTCACATATTTATCCGCACAGCACCTTTGACAGCTTAGGCATCAGGACACTCATTTCTTAAATTATTACCTTTTCCCATTATTTCCCCCCCATGAGTAATTATCTTGGTTATTTAACAGTTTTTATCTGCTTTTATCCCCATCTGCTCTCTGCTCTGCTGTGAAAAGGTTATGTCACCAAACTGTGCGCCCAACAGGATTTAGCAACATTTTAATCTGAATCTGACGACAGCTGGATGGATGTTGTTTTCTGCTGGCGGTCATAAATCTGATCCAAACCACACCTTCGTAATCCCAGCGCAGCAGGTTTGGAGTGTTTACAGTGAGATTATGTAACCTTTCGAAGAACAACTCACAAATTCCTCCTACTCATTTCATAAACAGCCTTTTAGCTTAACTCAGCACACCTCGCAGTTTTGCTGCTGTAGTCTGGCATGACTTTAGATAGATACTACTATTGTTACTCTACATTTCAGCATCTTTATCTGATGCAGAAAGTTGAATACCCTTATTTAACAAGTAATAAGAAGATATATTTTTACAGGATTATATTTTTCATATATTTTTCAATAGATCGTCATGAATGTTTATTGCTATGACATAAAAAGTGCTCAGGGGCATTTAAAATATTGTTCTTCAGAGGAATGCAGATAATCTTACCATCAACATGAAGCTAATTAGATGTTTCCCAATGCTGCATCTCATCGGTAATTTGCTTGAGGATTGAGAATAACAGATCCTTAAATGTAGCAGGTCCAATGTCTGAATGTCCTCTGTGCCCATAAAATATCAACATTACAAATCCAAGGCATGCACTTACTGGAGTTGCCACTGATCCAAGTGAAATCTTAATTTACGCAGTGGAAAAACTGCTAGCAACCTGTGTGGTCCTTTCACTCGGAGTGACCCCAGCGAAGGTCACAGGTTAAAGTTGTTCTTCATACCACAAGTGCTACTTTGTTGAGGTGTTTGACCTCATTTTGATCCTTTCATTCTCAAATAAAATAACATTTCCCAGAATTCATAGTGGTTAAGTATTCAGCAATCAGTGTAAGGATCAGTGTTATTGATTTTTTGTCAGCGCTTTCCAATTTTAAATTTGATGAATGAGCCCTGAGGTCAATCTATTTTTCCTTATATAATATCCACAGCTTCACTAATATATTTATTCACTTTGCTTGGACGTTTTGCTGGTTTTGGGATTTTTTTTATTGGCATTAACAGTATGTTTTGATTCCAGGATGATAGCTCATCTTGCTAATTTTTCTATCTAGTTGATTTTATTCTGGTCTGACTTTCATATGATGGTGTAGTTTTATATCTGCAGTTACCATAATATTTGTTGTCTGTTGTCAGATCTTCCGGAGGTGTTGGCTGGTGTTCAAGAAAGCCTCGAGTAAAGGACCCCGGCGGTTAGAGAAGTACCCAGATGAGAAGGCAGCCTACTTCAGGAGCTTCCACAAGGTAAACAAATGACTCAAAAACGTCACTAACATCATTCCTTTTTTATTAACTGTTTGTCTTGATGTCTTCTTTAGTAGATAAAATGATTATTGAGTACTAGATCAACAAAATTGGTTGTGATTTTGATCCTATGGCTGTGACTAATACGAGTTGTGATCATCTATCAGTTACTCCTTGATTAATCTGTCCATCACCCTATGAAATGACAACCTCATATTCCCAGCCCAGTGTAATGTCTTAGGTTAAGACAAGGAGTTCAAAATATTTAAAATAATATGTTAAAATTGATCAGGGAATTTTAACATTTCTGATTAAAAGAGGAAATAAATAATCCATCTTCTTAGCTGTGGGGATTAGGATTACTTTTTCATATGAAAATCTGTGGCCTTATCTGTGGCTCAAAAAGGATTTTCTTTAAATCTGAAGATGTTTAAAACATCATTAATTAATTTTTGTAGAGACGCACCGATTGCAGTTTTCTCAACAGAATTAGGTTTCTGATTTTCCTCCAAGTTTGACCTGCTGATAACATTTTTTGCTGATTCCACCTTTACCTGACAGATTTTACTGAACAAAACCAGGTGCAACAGATTCATGTAGCACATTTTAGATACATTGTTTTCCAATATGTTTATCTCCATAATCTTTCTCATTACTGCTTTGATCCTTTCCTCTTTGAGGCTGCCGGCTTGTGGTTTGGGAAACACAACGGTTCACTTTAGCTAATTTTGGGCCTCCACTCACTTCCACGCTAACAAAGTAGCATGTGGCCATGAGTGTGTTCTTTTCTGTTCTATTGTATGACACATTATGAACAAAACAAGTACTCAATAGTCACTCTGAACAACGTAACATATTACATTGTATTTATTTACACAGTGCTGACTTTTTGTGTGCTGGACCAGTACCACGCTGTGGTATTCCCAGTGTTGGAGAGAAAATTCTCATTGTGGGTGGTGAGGTTTAAGGATGCCAATGTCACTCAGTTCATTGGTCGATCATGATAATGCAGCATGTAGTGACCGCATTACCGTGAAATTAGGAATCAATATTCATAATCTCCAGAGTATGATTCGTGATGATTTAGTAACACCCTGACCTTTCGTCTAATGTAATCATTAGACATCACTTTGTATTTGACTCTACTGAAGTCGATGAAACTGTAGCCTCTATAGAAAACCATATATGCAACACCCAGTGGGTATTTAAGGTCATTAGAGGACCTTGAAACTAAAAGTTTGTCCGATCTTTGTCCTCTTGAATCCCAAAAGAAGATTAAACCTGCTGTGTGACTCCTCATGTAGCAGCCTAAGGTACTGTCTAAATGCTGATGACATTGACATGCAGAGCACAATTACAAGACGGCAGCCGAGTTTCATTTTGCAGGTTGGCCAATTGGTGGAATTAATTTGCTTCAGCTGATAAAATCTGATGGAAGTGGTCCCCCAGTAAAAATGAGATGTCAGGAACTGTCCTCTTAAAATCCTCCTGTCCTCTTCAAACTACAGAAACAAATGTTCTGGTAAAAGTCTCATGTGAACTGATTTTCAAGATATATATATTTTTTTCAATTTCCAGCACGACTTCTAAGAAAAGTATCTGCTGCTTATCTTTTAAGAGTATATTAGTCACAAGGTGCTTTTTACACTGAATAAAAAGATTATGGAATATGGTTGTGCACAACTGTGCCTTGTTTTCATCTTGATGTATTAAGTTCTGTCCATTGGCCTCAGATGATGAAGTTAAGGATCTATTAAGACACAGTTTGTAACTTTATCTTGTCCTTTGGGGCCTTTTTCCTCCCTTCAGAAAGTAATAATCCAGAGTATAATATCTCACTCCCTGCCTCTTAAGCCCTTTTGAAATACTCCAATTATGGCTCATTATCATGGTGAGTGGAGACGATGTTAAAGGAGTAGCACTGTGAACTATGTTTTATCATAATGAGAGGGAGATAACTGCAGATAATAGGGGACTGTGACATCAGTTTCTCATAAGGCGATATGTTTGAGAGAAGATTTAGTACTCTTTACTACTTGTGATTGTGAGTCAGCTGTGAGATTTTTCATTTTTGGTAGAATTTAACATTTTTTTCCACATTCCTGTCTGAGAAAGCTTGTATACAAGCTAGGTAGGTGTTTTGATCCATTTCCTTAGTTCGCTTTGCTGCTACAGTATCAGCCATGTATTGTGAATGAAACATCTCTATGCCTACTGCATCATGCTGTCACATGGGGCATCCTGTGTGGCTGTAACTCCCCTCCCAGAGGGATCTCATACACCCAGTGCTGGAGTGAGCGATGAGTGCACACATGCACCAGTGCGCCTGGTAATGCATCGCCACAAAGATCAAGAAAGGTCCCGTCTGAGGGCTTCATTCAACGCTGCAGTGCTTTGGGGGGAAATAGGCTGCACTGGTGGCTGATTTACACAATCAACACAAAGGGGATTGGCTTTTTTTCCCTTTCTTTCTCCATTCCCTCTTCTCTCTCCCACTCGTCTCCCTCTCCCTGTGCAGTTTTTGCTGTCTGAGGAGCACTGGTCCACGCAGTAAAAAGTCCCTGAATATTTTTAGCTCTCTGAAAAGTTGTTCTCCTTTGTGCTACATTTCCTGAGCTCTCCTGAGGTCCTGACAGGAGCAGTTAACATGAAATGATGGAGCTGTAGCTAAATGCCTAATTTGTACACATGGATGTGGAACTAACCAGCAAAGCAGGGAGAGCTGAGCAGACTGAGCCTCACTAGTGCAGCTGGTTGTTCCTCCAATTTGGTCAAAATAGCAAAAATTATTGTACAAACTATGTTGCACTTTTATACAAAAGCCGAATGACTAAATTCATATTTTATGTCTGTTAAATCAGAACCAGATCTCATCTGAACAAAATCCTGTAGCATGTGTGGGTAGGGCGTAAAGTTTAAGCTCGCTATGAAACTCGGATGATCTGATATCCTCGTGTTGGTGTTGTTCCCAGACCATCATGAAAATGTTGTTCCAGGTTCAACATTGCAAGTGACCAATCACTTTGTTGTGACGTTATTCTTTTGCGCGCCAAGCCATTCGTGCATTTATGAAATTCCAATGTTGCAAGGACAATATCAATTCTGCTTACTGTTTATTAAAGGGTTACGGTTAGGGTTAGGGTTAGGGTCCGTTGATCAGCGGACAGAGGCGGTTTCACGCAGCTTAAGTACAGTTTTTTGTTTTACGCCGGTTTTTCCCGAAGTCGCAAAAGTATGATGTCACAACATTCTGATTGGTCACTTGCAATGTTGATCCTGGAACAACATTTAGTATGATGATCTGGGAACAACACCAACACGAGGATATCAGATCAACCATGAAACTCCATAATCAAGATTTGCTTAATTATCAGGGCGGATGTCAAATTGTTGAATCTCAGCTCCTGTGCATAGCAAATGGGGAAGGGAGCAAATACCACAAGATGATCTTTTTGTAGTCAAATGTCTTGGGCCACACATCCTTTCTTTATATTTTACTTCCAAGGAACCAGCCGTTCTTGTCTTGAGCACTAGTTCTCCAAGGTATCTGAAGGTGGGTTTTTTTTTTAGCTTAAACTATGAAAAATGCAACACATAGCATGCTATGAAAGGGATAAAATTGTATGTTTACACCATCAAGTTGTTTTCCAAAGAGCTATTAGCTAAAAACCTAGCATATTTGTCAGCATGGCATGCAGTTTTTTCTTTTAAAATGTAGGGAAAGTGGACAAGAGGACAACAAAAGAAGTGGCAGATCTAAAAATCTATTGACAGAAGATGAACTGAAAATCTTGTCCTTATGAAACCGCAAAAAAATAGAGTAAAGATCTGACGCAGGACCTGAGAGATGCTCTGGACCTTCAGTTGATCCATATACTATTACCCAAGGTCTCATCAGAAGTGGTCTCAGTAGAAGGGTCCTTGACAATGAGTAAAAAATGAGAAAAGCTGACCTAAACACACAAGGGAACACTATCTGTCATGGATTGGGCTCCCCAGAGGCAGAACCTCAAAGCCCAAGGAGGTATTTCTGAAGACTACCTAAAGAAATCACAATAATGTTTCAGACTCTGTTGATCAAAGGTGGTCATAACAAATATTGACTGTCAAGCTTGTTAAACCTGCATAAACTCTTATTTTTGTCTTATATTTTTATTTTGCTGCAAATGTTTCAATAAATCACAGCATCAGTTGTTCATTTTTCTAGCAAAATATAAAGAAATGAGGGGTGGCTCAAATGACTAACAGTCTTCCCTGTTTTGCACAGTACTGTATATTCAGGTGGATGAGGACTTGAAGATCAAGTACATGTTTAGAATAAGAATTTATTTTTTAGAGCAATGTACAACTGCAATACAGTTTACATTAATAATCTCACTTTGGACACTGCAGAAAGAGAGCCAGCAGTAATATATTCAACCAGCCAACATTGGTTACTTTATTGTTTATTATTTTCACAATAGGAAACTGCTGCTTTAGATTATAGCAGAAACACTGTAAAATTACAGTTCCATGCTGGAAAACCAATAAACAGTACTTTACTGTGATTTAACAGGAGAGATCGTTAGCCGCTAGAAGACGAAGCCACTTGATGGAGAACAGCTGTTTTACTCTAACACTGGCACTTGTAAAACTAGCTTTTAACCCCATGTCGACCGCTGTTAGATGGAATTCTGTTAAATTTAGTTCACAGTTCAACTTCAAAATACCTGCAAACCTAATTGCATTCTCTTTAACCTCAGCCGCTCTTTATGTTTCATGCTAATTAGCAAACATGAGCATGCTAGTAGGCTAATCTAGTTAGAGAAGATGGTACCTTTTATTTAGCATACAAGTTAGACTACACTGAGCCACTAGTATGACTTGGGTTCCAGTTTTCCAAACATGAGATTTCTCTTCCACCTCATGTCTGCTATGCATGAAAGCTAAACATGAATAAAGATGAAGAGGAAAGAATGGGAGAGGAAATAGGTCTCATCAGAAATGATTCACTATGCTTGGACTAAAGCACCTCAGGCTGGGAATGCACCCAAATCTCTCATTTCACACACGCATCACACAGATAAAGACTAAAACATGCGCAGTTACACACTAAACACAAACAGGGAAAGAAAGAGATGAGAGGCTGGTGACATTCACTGCTTAGAAATTCCCAGCGTTGACGCTTACTTTGTGTCAGTTATGAATTGCCTGCCCGAGGACAAATTCATACCGTATCTCATATGAAATATTTAGATACCATCTTTGAGAGGGGATAAGAAAAATAAACAAACGGGACAAAAAACAAAGCACTTCTTATCTTTCAGTATTGTAGCCTCTGATTTACTTCTTCATCTGTTGTATTTCCAGTTGAAGTTCAATATTTCGGGGCAAATGCATTAAATCTAATATTATCAAACAGAAATCTCAAGTCCACATATCCTGTGTGTGTCTAAGGTCTGGTCCCTTAACTTTTAACAGTCAAGCTGTACTATACAGGGAGCCCAGCTAATTCATTCCCAACAGTCTGGCAAACTGCCCACAGTTAGCACACAATGGACTACACTAATGTAATGGGTCTTATCTACTAGGCAGAGTGAACACAGAGAAGACTGTTGAACAAAATGGCCTGTAAATGCGGTTTATATTTAATTAAATGTAATCTTCTCTTTTTTTCATTTGCTCAATCAATCTCCTGGTAAAGTGATTTAGATGCTTATGTCTATTATGTCTATTATGCTCCTGTCTATTGACTGGAAGGGCAGCTTTGAGGAGATGAACAATAGATGTGCTGTGTATACCGAAAGAGCACCGGGTCATGTTTATTCATAGGGGAGCCTTTAAAATAAATAACATACTTACATTTTACACATCACGCTGCAGCAGGCTTTATGATGCAGGAAGCTGACACTGCGTGTGATTTCTTTCTGTTTTAAGATACTTTTTGTAATCAGCCGAATAACTACTTCTGTTTATGTATCCCTTAAGATCACCCCCATCGCCCTTTTTTGTTTTGTTTTGTTTTAATTCACCCCTTTAATGCTAAGCCTCTAACTGCTATTGCAATTTCAGCAAAGCTGTGCAAGGCTGCAATTAAACCATGCTGCTGCAGCTGCTGCTGGTAGCTGTGTTCATTCAAGACAATATCCTCCTGCCACACTCTCTTTTTAGATCACTGAGCTCCATAACATCAAGAACATTACCCGGATGCCACGGGAGACAAAAAAGCATGCTGTGGCGATCATCTTCTGTGACGACACGTCCAAGACATTCGCCTGCGAATCAGGTAAAAATCAAAATTACTATTTTTTTTTCTCTAGCCACTTCGGAGCAAGGACAGCACCAATTTCAAGTGTCATTTCTTATAAATACGCCGGTAGGTGTAAGGTGAGGACTGGCGGCGTGGTTTTTTTGAAAAGTTTGACGAGAAGTGGAAGGAGAGTGAGAAGTGAGAGGTTGAAGGAGAAAGACAAATAGAATGAGTGAGATGAGGGAGGCAGCGGAGAACTGGAGTTTAGCCAAGTGATGCTCATTTTCCGCTATATTAAGAAGTGGGAGGATCTGTTCCGAAATATTGATTTTCATAGTGCAGGTATGAAAACTGATATCGGGCATAATTTGCGGCGTGTTTCAACTCAATTATAGACTGTAACAATACAGATTGTTTCTAATACGTGGATAGACAGCAAAGAAGGCTCTGGATCTGCACACTGATGTGTTTTTTGTGCAAAGCTGAAAGCAGAGGGTTAGGTAAGGTGGATGCACCTTACTTAACATCTTAACTCCACTCTTGCAGGTGTGCATTTGGAAATATTCGCATATGACATGGAGAGTTGTGAACTCATATCTTAACTCTCTCCTCTGCTGGATCAGTCCTCTCACCCCACCGTATGAGTGTCTTTTTCCCCTTTTTTGACCATCAACCTTCCACATCTGATATCCTTCATTTCTCTTGCATCACATGATATCCACAAGTGTTAAACTTGTGGAAATTTGCAAAAATGTGGCATCCTGTAAATAAGAGGTTCAGGTTGTATCAGATTTAAATTTGGCATGCTGCCTATTTTCTACAGTGTAACAACAGTGAGTGTATGGATTTAAAAACTGGCATTTTTAAAGTGCAGTCATTTCTTAAGGCATTCATACAAATGTGCCAATAATTGGATGTTCACTGTTTTTTAAAAGCAAAGAGAAAAAGCAGATAATTAGGTCTCATGAAGCTCTCTTGATATTTTAGTTTTTTAAAAATAACCATTTTATGCCTCCATCTAAGCAGTACCGTGTTGTTTGGTGTGCTGTTGAGGAAACACGGGATGGAACAAAGGAAAAATCATTTAAAATTCCTGACAGCTTTGGGTGCATCTGACAAATATGCACATAAGGAGAGATGAGCATGACCTGAAGAGATGAGAATCCTGTCAAGTGTGCCAACTCTTTAAATTCCACAGCCGAATGGGGCCTGACAGCACGTATACAAGTGGATATACATTTTGCATTTGTCTGGATAACGGCACCTTCTCCCGAAACAGGAAATGCAAAGAAAGCTCAGCTGTCTTTTGATTTGATTCTCACATATACTGTCACTCCAGCTTCATCTTGCCAGCACATCCATCCTTTTCCACAGCACACCTCCACACTGAGACATCCTCCCGCAACATCTCTTCATGCATGGCACATGGAGTTGCAAGGTTGCCTCTGTGCTGATGAACTGTTTGCTTAGCTGATTTTCCACTCACTGGCCTTAAAAAGTGTGGGAGTTTAGAGGCCAAGAAGGCCATGGCAACTGAATGAGAAAAGCTGAATCTGGGGAGGCATGAGGAAAGAGCTCAAATTCAGAGCTGCTGGTGCTGCCTGTAAATGTGTGGCTCCAAAGTTTCGCTTTTTTGTATGTGTGAATGAAGCGCTCCAGGCAGCAGCAGACCTTTCCTTCACCCTGCAGAGTAATGTAGATCTGTCCCATTGACAATGCTTGTCAGAGCTGAGCTGACAAACAGGTTGTCTTGCAATGGCAGCAAATACGCCAGGAAGACACGCCAATGCTCTCTCGCATTTTACACGAGTGCATGAGGATTTTTTTGTAAGCAAACACAGAAACATGGTAGAATTCCCACACTTTCACATGTGTCTCTGTACACATGAGTGGCCATAGTTACAAATCCCAGTGCTCTCCAGGGCCAGGGAGCTTCAGAAAGATAAACAACTCTGGCGTTTGCCTCATTTCGCACTTCAGTGACTTTCACCAAACGTTCATGTAAGACAATTGGAAATCTTCTGCACTGTAAACACAATTTTTCTGACTTAACAGGAAGGAAAATTGGTATTCACACGTAACACACTGCCACACAGACTTCCAGATTTGATTCATGAAATCATTTGTTTCCACTTAGCCTTAAATTAAAAAATCTGTCTCACAATAAATGTTCTGCTTCGTTTCCGGCTTTCATCCGTAGCAGGCGCAACTTCTTCCACGCAGCTCATTTCCTTAATCCAAGATTGTTGTTTTGGAAGGAAACGATAATTGTCCTAATTGTCCAAATTTCTCAAAATTAGCCAACAATGCTCATTCACTGTGGCTCTATGTTACTAAACATAAATTTGGAAGTTAAAGCCCCAACACAAGGCTCGTAACCCCGTGTGCCCCCAAAGGTGTCCTGCTAAGGCACCTTTGGGGGCACACGGGGTTACGAGTTTTCTCATTAAGAGAGGGAGTAACAAGGGTTTGGAAAAAATAATAATGTCACGTTACTAAGGTGCTCATGTGCACACTTGTAAAGAGAGACGAGATCCTGGAGTTGCATTTCAATCAAATCCAAACATTTTGCACTTTAAAGGACTGTTTATGTAGGAATATAGAAGATGAATGTTGCATGTATAAAACAATGAAATGGAACAAAAAGCAGCAATTATTCCTTTAGTGGAAATTAAAATACCACGAGTGAAAAAGTCATTTACTCTGTGGCTCTGGACCTGCTGCGTCTCTGATTCACTCCTCCAGCCAATTGTTGTTCCTTGTGAGTCATGCATCCACTTAACCTGCTAAACACAACCCAATCAGAGGCACTGCAGGGCGGTCCATTAGCCTTTTCAAAGTAAAAGCCATCTGATGTGTTACACATTCATGCTAATTTTGACAACCTTATTTTAGAAAATGCAAAATGATTGTAAACTGCCTTTCTACACTAAATATGACTCTATAGCCAGGTTATATGTTTGATTGCTTATCGTGGTGGAAACATCCACCCTAACTATGTCTGAAGGGAAAGAGAGTATAAAACTTTAAAAAAAAAAAGTTGAATTAATGTATTTCCTTTCCAGCTAACAAGCAAAATTCCTTCTCCAATTTGGGAAATAGCTTATTGATTACCTGAGTAGATTATCGCTAGTTTCAGATTTACACTGGCCATATTGTTTTAGCTGTGCTACTTATATTTTATAGCCTTAGAGCTGAGTATTGGCAGATAATGGAGGAGAAACCCCGTCTTCATCTGGACAGAATCCACTGCCTTTTTTAATCTGCACCAAATCAATCAGACTGATCCCCCCCCCCCCAGTCCTTTCACTGTTTGCTGTACTGTTGCCTTGTGCATGTAACGCATTACTCCTGAAATTCCATGAATGGTTTATTTCGTATGTGTAACATTTACAGTATGTGTTGTCGTGTATGTGTGTGGTTAATGGTGGACATTCCTTTATGCTGTGCTACTGTGTGCAGAGCTGGATGCAGAGGAATGGTGTAAGCTGCTGTGCATGGAGTGCCTGGGCAGCCGTCTCAATGACATCAGCCTGGGAGAGCCAGACCTGTTAGCAGCGGGGGTGCAGCGGGAGCAGAACGGTGAGTGCCCAATTAGTCCCTGCTAACACGGGGCTAACACAGACAGCCATTCAGGGTCAATCTCACTCACTCAGCCTGCCACCGAGCAGTTAGCTGATGCAGTCCAGGCCTTTATGTGTTAAAGCAACTAAGACCTCAGAGGGTTAGGTGAATGGAGAACAGCCGCTGTCCAATTAGGCCGGACTAATAATGGCCTTTTTCTTTTTTTTGCCAATACCTGATTCGATGACCCATGTTACAGCCCATACTTACATTAGCACACACAAGGGTTCAACTTAAGACTTCAGAAGTGTGTGTGTGTGTGTGTGTGTGTGTGTGTGTGTGTGTGTGTGTGTGTGAGCACAGGTCAGTCACAGGCTGCGGCCGGGGCTCTGTTCCAGGCCTAATGAGAAGTGCTGTGCATCACTGGCTTCCCTCATAATGAAGCTTGTCACAGAGATGGATGAGATTATGGCTCCTAAAGCCATGTGAAAAAAATGTGCCTCCCCACATATTCCACTTACAGGAAATGAAAATGGAAAAGAGAGGAGACAACAGGGCTCTGCTATCACAGTGGAACTCATTCCCTGTGTAATTTGTAAAGTCGCGGAGGAAATCGAAAAGGCAACAGGCAAAAACGAGCAGTTTAAAGTCGAAAAAAGGGGGCGAGGAATTGAAAAGAACCTGCCGTCATTTCGACCCATTACATCCCGTTGCGGCTGCAGAGTGAAATTGTACTCCTCAACATGAACTTGGCTTCATTCGTTTACGGTATCAATACGAAACGTTTTGACTGTGCCGGGAGTGGGGAGCCAGTTGAACTGTAACACTCGCTCTCTCTTCAGCTGTGGCAGAAATCCTGCTGTTTGTTGCTCCTACAAAGCTTTCAGCAAAGTGTTATGGAGATTAACTGAACTCGTACCTCTCCGCTGCCTCTTTGAGTGAATGAAACAAAAGGCTTTAGCCTGCAATTTCAATTAGTAGCCCTCCCCAAACAGCAGGGGCTGATAATTAGATCAGAGTTCATTTTCACTGTCCCTAAAAATATGCCACACCATGACACTGCCATTCTCTATCCACTGCAGACTCATGGCTTATTTTGAATCATTAAGTGTAATTAGTGAGAACTAATTTAGATCATGGAGGACTCCCCCCCCCCTCCCTCACACTGTCTCTCTGACTCTCTCTGTCTGCCTGCCTCAGAGAAATGCTTTAATATGAATGGGCAGATCTGGCTCACTGATTCCGGTGCAGCTCACTGGATGGCCGGTTAGACCCACTGCAGTTGAAGTCAGTAAAGTACTGCTTAAAATGCCTTCTGCATCGTAGTTTTTCTCTACTTCTGCGATAGAAGCCATGTTCAGTAACCTTGCAATATTTCAATAATAATAATTCATAACCTTTTTAAAATTTAAACAAAACCGCAGCCCCCGACTAGTCACCTCATGTGGCTTATATTTTATCCACCCTCTAAAGCACCATTTGCTGTTGCGAATGACACAACCCACATCTACGCTCAGTTAAACCGCACTCTTCGCTGTGGGATCCCACCTTCAAGTAAGTCTGCTGTGAATTGTTTCAGAACGCTTCAACGTGTACCTAATGCCCACGCCCAACCTGGACATCTACGGGGAGTGCACCATGCAGATCACTCATGAAAACATCTATCTGTGGGACATTCACAACGCTCGCCTCAAACTCGTCATGTGGCCCCTCAGCTCCTTGCGCAGATACGGCAGAGACTCCACCTGGTTCACTTTCGAGTCCGGAAGGTGCGTGTGTGCGTACGTGCATGCAAATATTTCATGCCTGCTGTTGTCTTACGTGTGATTGAAATGTTAGCAGTGGGAGTGAAAAACTTAGTTTTGGAAAGGTTATAAAAACTTCAACAAAGCAACTTCGGATATCCGAAACATCCCAGGATATCAGCATTTGCCACAGAGCCCTTCAGGCGACGATGTGACAGGTGCCTCTGTGAGCGTGTGTCTGTGTTTGTGTACTGTATCTACTCACGCATGTGTTTATGTGTTTGACTCCAGCGGGCTATTATAGTGTCTCTCTCTCTGTAACTGAACAGTCAGCCATGCATATTTGTAGATCAGCAATCTGAGAGTGAGCGCGATCAAAGTGGGTCTCTGTGTGTGTGTTCCTGGCGCAGGATGTGTGACACAGGAGAGGGTTTGTTCACGTTCCAGACGCGGGAGGGGGAGATGATCTACCAGCGGGTCCACTCGGCCACGCTGGCCATTGCCCAGCAGCATGAGAGGATGATGGAGGAGATGGAGAAGAGCTCCCAGGTACATTTGTGCTTTTTTTTTTTTTCTCTCTCTCTTCCGTTGTTTATCTTATATCCACCAGCCACACTTGATAAGCCCGACAACTGCCTTCTTGTACCGCCAGCATAACAAGCGGCTAATAATCAATGCTGGTATCAACATGAAGTTGTTGTCGAAATAATTACGTATCACTAACATAGTGAGCTTCGCTTTCTGTAGTTAAAGCATCCTGCTGAAATTGATGCCAGAAGAAACACAAAGACTCCATCTGTGCACACACTTAGACACATATTACTGTAATTTAATAAAACACCTTTCTTCCTCTGGTATTTCTGCAGCTCTTTCCCTGCCTGTTTGAGGCTGATCTGAGGAGCATTTCATTGAGGCTTTTTGCAGAAAGCAGGCAATAGGTCATGATTTTCACACACACAACACACATTTCTCTCTAGGTACTGTATTGCCGCTTTGGACCAGGAGCCCTCTGACACCCCGCCGTCTTGGCCTCGGTTTCCTCCTTCCACCACAACATCATCCCGTGCGTTTCTTCCTTCCTCCCATCCTCCCCGCTATCGTCTGTATTCTTTATTTATGTAGGCCTGCCTAGTGTTTGATGAGCCTTGACCATATGGTCATGCTCCTGGACCCCACCATTTGGGAACTTTTCCAAATGCAGCTACCCTTAGCTCTATAAAATGTACGCTCAGCAACAGAAAACTGACCGCTCATGTAGCAGAATGGGGGAAATGGCATGTTTACTGCTGGGTAAATCCATATTTTTTTCAACACTTAATGTATTTCAAGCTGCTTTTTCTAGACGGGAGTCTTTGGTTTCATGTTGAACGCAAAAATATAAAACGCATCATTCCCTGGCAAAACAACACGGGGACCCCGAACGAGTGTTCATCTCACCCATCACGCAGCCATTCATAGCGGAAACATGCCATTCAGTCTCTAATATGCTGTATTACCCATGCTGTTTGTTTACTGACTATGTAGAGCAATATCACCTGTTGTGAGCGACTGACTGAGAGTGACAGAAAAGTGAGAGACACCGTATGCGTTCTCTGTCTGTTCCAGAGCCACTCCAGAGAGACGCTAACTAAGTCCATCTCCCTGCCACGCAGCGCCTACTGGCAGCACATCACGCGTCAGACCAGCGTGGGGGATCTGTACAGCTACCAAGGTACAAACAAGAAGTCACTAATTGTCATATGCACGGGTTGGGGTTTTGGCTCACCGGCAAGACTGAAAAACTGCTAATGAGGATTACACGACAGTTATGGCTTTAGCTTTTACCTCTGTGTATTTCAGCAATATATACTTTTATAAATATGTACTTTTTTAAGAAATTATTGTTTGTGTCTCGTGCATTGGCTGGTAGTTGCATTTATCTCATGTCTGGCATGCAAACTCAGCCTTATCTGATGCACATCTGATAAGCTTGAGTTCAAGAAAATGAAAGCAGATGAGTTCCACTCTGTGTAAGCACCAACGTTTATAGTCACAAACTCAACACAAGCGGGTGAGCTCTCTCCGCTTTGCTATTAAGATCTTTAGTAAAATGTTAGGCTCCTGTTGAGTTTAATCATACAGAAAAATTTGCCAACAATAATGGAAAATATCCAGATTTAGGTTCAAATTTGTCTTAAGGTAGTCAGATCATAATCTAAGCTATGAATAAATGTATTTATTTTTTTATATCTAGAGGAAATTCACAACCATATTCATCTCCAAGCGTGTCCTTTTGTCTTAAACAACAACTTACAAGTCGAGCTAGGAGTTTCTGTCTCCTGAGTCTGAGCTGGGAGCTGAGACTCTTCCTGTTTTCTTAATGACACATATTATTTTTTATCGCATAATCACGAATTGCCTGCGCGCTATTGTTCTTGTCCGTATCTAATACATAAATGAGACTAGGTTGTAAAGAGAATGTGCACCCTTAGGATAATGGCATCAGCTAAAGCTAATTGGATTCAGGAGTGAAATCAATGAAACATGATATATGGTGTGAATCAGGGATATTAGAGACTTTTGATCTTAAATAGCAAATTTTTTTATGAAGCTGGGGAATGTTACAAAGTTATCTTCTTTCTTCCACTCAAACAAAGTCAGTACAAATGGATATAATTTAGCTCTTTAGCTTCTCTCTAGAAGTGGATGCCTAAATAGATAACTTCAAAAGCTCAGAGACTTAAAAAAAGAAGCCCAAAAAAGGCTTTAGGTTAACATCTCTGTTCCACTTTGTGAATCTGCCGTATGCAAATCAAGCGGAAAGACTGCACGGTGTCCTTGGTAGAACGCAACAGGGCAAGTTGCTTAAAAAAGAACATCACTGCACACCTTAAGTTGCCACAAAGCTCCTTCATGCTGTACTGCACCTGAAAAATCTTTTGTGTGCTAATTAAACTAAGGTTAAATTGTTTGGGAAGAACACGTTGCACTATGTATAGCATGAAAAGGCCCTGCATGCCAACATGAAAACATCAAAAGGTGAACTGAAGCGAAAGGGGGGCATCGCGATTTGGATCTTCTTTGTCGCCTCGGGGATTGGACGGCTCGCCGTCATTGTGCGGAAAATGAATTCTCGAGTTTGTGAAGGTATCCTCCAGGATAATGTCAGGCTGGCTGACCAGCTGAGGCTCGGGAGAAGAAGAAGCTGGGCGATGCAGTACAAACATTAAAGCAAATCTACTACAGGCTAAAATGTAACCCAGTGCACATACGCCCAGGAGAGCGGCTCACACCTGAATATTGAGAACACTCGATTGATTCTACATATGGATCTGATTATTCACCCATTCTCAGTTGATTCCTGTTCAATATTCTGTGCTTGGAAAAGAAAAAAAAATAGGCCTACGCAGGTTTTCAGTGTCAACCCAACTGTTGTGTTATCTCAGTCTAGAAACACAGCAGGAAAAAAAAGCTTTGTGACTCACTCCATTGCCACGAGTTTGACGTGACTGTTTTGGGATGCGCAGCTGTCAGAAAAACACGCCGGCATTGATTAAAAAGGAATCGGCGAGCTTGGAGGTTTCCGGTGGATTTGACTATTTGGAACCTGTTCTTGATTTCCATCCCCGTTCACACCCTCCTAAGAATTTGACTGATGTTCTGAGCTCTCTGAGGATGTCTTTTTTCTTTGATAACTAAAAGCAGAGACGCACAAGCATATCTAAATTACAGTATAAAAGACAAGAATGATTTGTGAAAGAAAGCACATTCGTGTTTGCGCACGTGTGCGAGTAAGCGAGAGCGTCTCGAACCGAGTGCATTAATAATGCAGCAGGTGGTCCGTATGCGTCCAAGCTCAGCCCTGTTTGTCCTCTGTGTGCACTTAATGTACACGTATACTTCAGAAGGAGTAAGAGAGTGTGTGTATGTGTGTGTGTTTAATGTCTAGATGTAGACCAGAGGCAGAAAGGTGATTAGTGAGCTGATGCGATTATGCTCTGTCCGTGGTATTAGTTGATTAGTAGACTTATCTGAGGATTATGGGCCTTTTGGCTTTCACTGATAGAGCTAAACAGAAAGCCAGGCTAAGATGAAAGTCGCTCTGACGTCATAATTTTCTTTTGAAAAGCTAAGGCTGGGGTGGTTTTTTTCTCTTTTTTTCATTATCATTTAATTGTGGCCGATAAGCTTAAAAGCAAAACGCAAGTCTTCCATTCCAAACATCAACATGTTTTTACTCATATACACTAAACGGAGAAGCTTCCACCTTGGGGTCATTATTTATAAGCTCAGTCACTGTAAAGTCTCCTTTTAAACTCTTCCTCTCCAAACTCTGGTGAGCAGAGGAGCTTCTCTCTCATCCATCACCTTGGCATATCCACTGGTCCTCCCACACTTTCTCTGCATGTCGGTCCACGTTTGGAACAACCTTCCACCTTCTCCTGCTCGTGCACATTCTGCTTTGCTATTATCTCTCCACCCTTTCCATGAATAAATTGAATGCATCAGTGTGTTTGAGGACGTTTGAGGTCTCGTCAGGCGAAGAGGACAACAAGGTTGTTCTGGGGAGTGACGGGAGTTTAAGTCCTGTTGCGACATGGGATGTTTGGGATGTCGGACGGGGCGGGGTGGCGATTCGCTTAACATGGCTGTAAGACATGGATGAGGACGGCCTCGCACATTAATTGCATTGATTTCTTATTGGCAGGCCTGCACCTCCCTGGAGGTCAAAGCATCCTTTCATTGACATGTTCCAAATTTGTTCAACTGGTTTTAACAATTGATTGCTACAGCCAGGTAACAAATTAAAGGAAAAATCAACATACAGTGTATAAGTAATTTGTTAGGTGATCCACTGACTCTCATGAAGGTCTCTGGAAGTCAGCTGGAGGAATGAACATCATTTTTCCTGAATCGCCCATAAATGTTCAGCTGGATTAAGATCTGATAACTGTGAAGCCATAACATCTTTATGCTCATCACACCTGCTGTCCACTCTCTACATAGCTGGGTATAAATGTGTTCAAGCTTAGCAGCTTCATAATGATTTCATGCACTGACCCTTCTCTCTTGAAAATATTTACTCTCAAGACACATTTTGGAGCGACTGTTGACCCCCAAAATCTGAATGAAGCTGCAAACCATAATTCAGGGATAAATAATTGAAATCTTTACCACATCCAGTGGGATATTTATGATTATTTGGAACTTTAATTTGTCATTTGTTATCTATGAAATCATTTTACAAAAAAAATCGTTTTTTACTAATAAAACTGGAAAAACTTTGAAGTGCAGGAAAAAATATTTATTAACATGTTGAGCACTTTAAAAAAAAAAAAAAACAAACAGTCACTGCACTCTTTGTCCCAGTGAATCAAATTAAAACTAGCCTGTACTTTTGTAACATATAGCAGTCGAATAGATAAAGTGACGATAAAAAGGCTGGTTTCAGTTTAGTTTAAATTCTAGTTACTGATAAAGCGTGCTGGTAATCGTTTTTTTTTATGTAGGCATGCCCTCTTTAAACCCCACGCTTTGACCAAATATAAACCTAGCTAGAAATGTAATCACATGTTGCTATCGACGACAGGTATAAAAGCGGCGATACCAGTGGACTACATCATAGGCTCTATATATAGAGTGTAATTCAGGCATAAGCAGCAGCAGTAAAGGAAACAGGTCTGTCCACTGATAAATCATCTGTTTTCCTCCATGACCTTTTGAACTTGGAATCCATAAGTAGATGGACTCAGTACTACACATGTATGTGTATACATCCAGCGTTACTGTGGTTCAGCAAATTTAAAACAATAATGCACTGAGTGATAGACCCAGAATGCAACGCACGTTTTAGTAACAAAAAACAAAATCAGTGTGAAAAATCCACATTTTTTTTTCCCCATTGAAAGAACCATTTTAAGTGATGATGAATTAAAGGAAAATGTTTTTAGAAATTCTGTTCTTCGGTACCATAGTCGTATCAGAGAAATGGAGATGGGCACAAGAACTCCAGATTTGAGACCCCTGGAAGAAACCATGCTGGAAAAATGCCCCACAACAGGATTACAGAGCCACCAAATCCATTCATGGGGGGATCAGAACAAAACTGTCTTTGATTTGTTAACAAAATTCTTACTAAAAGAGGCCACTGCAGCGGACATGGCATCCACTACTTTGAGTAATCTGTTTTCAACCATCTATTCAACAGCTAAACACACAGCTTAGCTTGGTTGCGTCTTTATAAACAAAGGTTTGAATATGAATATGCAAAATACGGAACACGATTTATGATCCATATATATAACATGTAATCAGACTCTGATTGCATGCAAGGAACCAACCCTGTTGTTTCCCTGAATGCAGAAGAGCAAAGCAACAGTTCAATTTTCCATAATAACATCTTGAAACCTTTGGGGGGTTTCTTGCTTCTTTTTAAAGAATTATCTGCGTTCATGAACAATGGACGAGATATCTTGGCCGTGATATCTGCTGGCTACACCGGAAGCTCTGAAATGCTGGCACTCGTTCCAAGGGACTGAGTCATCAGACAATAGCCAATGGGTTCCCAGATTGCAGCTGACTCATTATGTAGTTATCACTGTTAATTAACAATATTTTTAAAAATTAGACTAAGTTGAAATCGGTGCCTAAAAATATCTTAGAAGCTCAAAACAGTCTGTCTTTCAGTACACAGACAGATTTAAACACCCTCAGTAGACATGGCTGCAGGTTGTGAGTTTTTCTTTTTTTTAATAATTATGCTATTAGCTCCCAGAATAATAATTTGGATCCTAATATAGGTAGGAAGTCAGATTCTTGGACCATGATACAGCTGGCTGTGTCTGCTTCCTGGCTGTATCACTCTGTGCATGATGAATATCCAATCAGCACAGTCAATTTGCTGAGTCATGCTCGGGCTGCTTTCAAATACCCTGCGGGTCCGGTGGAATAATTAAGGAACACAGTCCCGTCCCCCCCCCCCGCTGAGGTTTATTCACCTATTTGTTTATTTCTTTGTGTCAGTAAATGTGTGGACTTGGCAGTAAAAGTAGTGTCACTCTTTTATTCAAATATATTTAACATCTGCTTTTTACTGAGCTGGAATTGTCTCAAAAACACATCCCAAAAGCCTTGTTTGCTGTAACTGACAAAGATAATGCTAAAATGCATCTTGTTTAAAAGGAAAGAGAGCTTTTCATCCGTTTTCAACTAAATCCAGCCCCATCAAAGCATTCAGCTTTTTTAAATATGACCTTAGATTGGTGTTTTCATCTTCACAAGATACGTCATACTGAGACAGGTTATGGTTTATACCGCTGGTTTACTCTCTTTACTCTAATGTTATTCACTCTTTTGGGTTTCGGTGAAACTGCCGTGTCCTCTGAGTTTGCTGATGCAGAGGAAGTGCACTTTAAAGTTTCCCGAGTTGAAAAAAAGCGAGGCGCCACACCTGTCGGAAATGGTTCAATTACCAACTCTAATACTGGGAAGGAAAGGGACGGGGATGCTTGTGTTTTGGCGTGTTCCCATTTTTGTGTGCATGCGCATATTTCGCCTGCACGCCGTCTTTCTCTCTCTCACGCCTGCATTTTATTGTGCTCTGTAGTTTAGTGATGTAGCATTAGCAATTCTAATGAAATAGAGAGCTGTACCCAGTTTGATCGGCCGGGTGCGATGCGAGGGGATTTTTTCCGAGAGGTAGCAAGTATCAAAGGGACAAGACGATAACCCCGTCTTATCTGCGACAGGCAACATGAAGTATTGTAGATGTATAGTAAATGCAAAAACTGAACCCCATGAAAAATTTATTGCAGGTAAAAGTTAGTTTCTTTCTTCTTGGTGGACGTCACCGCACATTATATGAATCAAAGCTTAAGTTAGCGACCTAGTCTCTAGGCTGGATCAGATTGATATTTTATCACTTACAGCCTGTCGTTACCCCAGCGGCTTTTTACTGCCCAGGAGACGCAGCCGTGCATGTTTGTGGTACGTTCAGCCCGGGTTTCTCTGGTTACAGCTGTTTCTAGGATGCCATCTGCGTTGTTGCACTTTAAGGAAAGAAGGTGGAGAAAGGTGCATGCGTGTGTCCACTCACACACACACACACACACACACACACGTGAATAGCTGCCTCTGTATCCGGCTCTGCTATTCTGTCAGTGTGTGAGAGGGCCCTCCCCTGCCTGTACTGTCTGCTCCGGCCCAGCAGCTGCCACCCCAGGCCAGATAGAATGACATGACCTTCCCTGGTAATGAAAAGGCACTGACAAATCACTGTCTGCTTCTCACAGGGATAGACGAAGAGAGGAGATGCTGACACCATCATCGCTCTCAGTGCTTTTTATTATTATTATTTTATTTATTTATCTTGTAAGAGTGTCTGCTTTACGAAAGCGTGGCTCTCGTCAGGGGTCTGGCACCGCACAACAAACACCACTGTTTACCACTGAGGAGATGATGAGATCCACTTTGCCCTCTCTGTCTGCTCTGGGCTCCCTGCCGCCCCCCACCTTTTTTTTTTCTCACCCAGTCTAAATTGGCCTTGGTTGAGGAGAAGGATTGTCTTGGCAAAGATGTGAAAAGGATATGCCTGGTTGCGCACCAGTCGTTGCAGCAATCTATTAAGTACAACGCTGAGGAAAGACAAAGTGCACCCCCCTCCACCCCCTCATTTTAAAACTTGCAGTGGGTTTTTTTCCCCCCTTTTCCTACAGCACGGACACTGTTACATTTAAATCCTTAAGCTAGAGCCTTATGCTATTCTTTTCCTTCATTTCAGGGAGTGGTGGAAAGGAAAGACTAGCAGACAGAGGTGTGTATGTATGACTCACCTGTTATGGTTGATGCTGTGTTGGTCTCATCCTCACACCCACACAGGCCCCTCTGTGCTTCCTCCTGCAAGCTGTTCCCTGAACTCGCACAGGAAAAATGCCTTTTCTGTGTTTTCCCTTCTCAGTATCTTTCTTTAACTTGTGCATCTTTTCTTTTTTACATGCCTCCATTTTTTTAAAACAAGACTTCTGTCTCTGTGGTACTGATGTACGCTCACAATTGACATTGATTGCCAGGTTGACTGGGTCATGTTTTATATTCCGCGTTGTGGTGAAGTGGCAGCGTGTCTGATCCCAGTTCCCTTTGGGTGCTATGATATCTGGTGCTGCTGGCTGTGCGCGTGGGTTCTGGTATGTGTGTGTTCTCTGTATAACAAATGGTTTGCACAGCTTAAAGTCATATCTGCTAAGAAGCATTTCAGCACCAATAACAGTTGTAAGAATCACGACTTTATCCATGCCCCTTGGGAATATTAAAAAAAACAATCAAATTTTAATTTGTTAATCAAATTTCAATTAGCCTGCATAGGTGAATCTGAAATGCCTGAAAAATATTGACAGCAGCAACTTCTCCCAGCTGGCTATGTTAGCTGGCCCTGTGTATGCTGTAGGTTAGAGTTGATTACAGCGTTGTGTTAGGTTTCGCACCTCCTGCAATATTGATCATTGGCCACTTCCTCCTTGTTTGGTGCATGATCAGCAGCTTGCCAGCCACTTTATCCCCAACCTACCTCCGTGTGCACGTCTCCAAACCGCATTCTAATATATTATTAATGGCCCCGCGGTTGCACAAGAACAGCACTCCACCCACAAGTATCCATTACTCACTTTCAGTGCATTTTACCAACACAAACTGCACAACAAATTGGGCCAGTTAATTTAAATTAAGGTGGAGAGGGAGATGGCAGGGGACAGAGAGAGACGACAGCAGTTGAGGAGGATGAGAGGGCCGAATGAAGTTGTTTATCTGAGATGAAAGGTTGCTTTTATGTCACATCTGTTACTATTATACCTGTTAGGGTTTATAGATTTTGTATATCTGAAAAGGACCTTCACCTTCATCAAAGGGCTTTAAAAGATTGTTTTAGCAAAATTGAGAAGCGTCGTTCTTTAATCTCCATAAAGATATTTCCATGGACAGTAGCTAAGCAACAGTTGCCCTATGACTATATAGTTTAAGAAACAATACTGTGTTGCAGTGGAGTTCCAGATAAATGAAGCAGATCGGCTAATTTTACTCCTCTTAACAAAAAAGAGGAAATAGAGAGGAAAAAAAAAGTGCTCACTTGAAGCTTTTCTTTCTCCCTCTCAAAGGAACGGGCCTGATGATGACTTTCATCCCGAGAGCACAGACCTTCCCCAGCTTTCTGTCTGATGAGCCTGAACAGGAGGAGAGCCAGCACCAGCGAGAGGCGCCGTCGCCCTCTAGTGGCTGTGAATCTAGTTGCAGCCTGAGACCCCTTCAATGACAGAGAATTGCTCCATCGACACTGGACTGAACACTTTACCCACTGCTTTAGAGAGGATGTAGAAATATGTATAGCGACATGTGTAATATATCATTTTATGGTGATAACTTACAGACAGTAGTGTCAACTGTAGAGCGATCGGTATGCGAAAAAATGATCTCGAGGAGGATTGTACTTATTTTTTTGTGCGACGTGTGACAGCCGAAGTAGCTTCAAAGATTGTATCAAAAGGAAGAAAAAAATCCTTTAACTGTCGTTTTCAAGTGTTTTATGTTGTCATTATCCTTTTAAAGCCAGCATGATTCTCCCCATCTCTGTTTTAAAGCACTACATCATACCTTACAAAACCTAAAAGCTACTAACACACCACAGCCCGCTGTAAACCAGTGTCAACTTTTATTACAAAACTCCTGAAATGCCATCAGGCTCGCTCCATTGATGTGCAGCCTCAGCAACCAATTCATGAGAAATTCCACCAGTTTTGACTCAAAATACTCCCACACTCGCTGCTTTGACCTTTTTTTTTTCTTCTCAAGAATGTGAAACTGATCAATGCCTTACACGAAAGACGCTCGATGCTGACGCCAGTGATGGATCAGCTAAAGTCCTGAATGAATACAACTGGCAAAGGGAAATAGTCATTCAGATATGTGCTTGAAGGATGTAGTAATAGACCGTCATGTCAGAAATGATCCAATGTAACCTTCGCACAGCATCTGCTTTAAAACTGCCAACCTTACCTTTTCACCAGAGCAATTCGATTTTAATAGCCACCAAGCACGTCGTCGTCCGGTTCCTCTGAGGACTGGTTCATTTGCAAAAAGGTGTAAAGAGAGCGACCTGAGGGATTAAGCTACGCAGAGCAGAGGTGATATTGGCATTTTGGGTCCAGGATGTGCTCTGTGGCAATTAAACATCATAACTACTTTTCATTCAACTTAATAACACAGTTTAATTTTGGGGAAAATAGATTAAAATCAGTGCATTTCTTTGAGAACATATACTTTGATATAAAGTTACTCTACTGCCTGGCACTCCCATTTCACAAGCTCAGAAATCAATCTTCCAACTTCAGTATATTTGTCCACTGATAGGGGGGAAAAAAAAAAAGAAGCATAAAAACACTTTACCTGAAGTGGTTAGTGCTGATAAGCACCTACTCTAGTTTGCCTAAGGGTTACCTGATACTATGTTACAGAATAAATGGTAGCCAAGAAAAGACACAATATGCGGAACTCCAAAGCTTATAAAAGTCTGTTTGAAGTTGAGACAACGTGATACCAACATTTTTAACCAAAACAAAGTTAGCTAAAATAATGATAAAAACTAGACTTTTGAAAAGAATTAAAAGTAGCTGAAATGATTTTGTGAACTCATAGTTTTACTATTTGTTAGTTCAGTAAAAGCTTTGATGGATATGTTTATTGAGACTTTGAATGGCTACATGATGGTGAACAGCTGCCTTCAAAAAAATGGGGTTTTGTTATACCTATGTCGATTTTTCTTACATCTTGCCTTTCACATATTCCCGACACACACTGGTAATTAAAAAGACTAAAGGTCAAAGCGAAACAAATGTACCCTAAACTACAGTGAAACATTCTCCGACAATAAAAACTGAACTGAAACAAGCAAACCCACTCTTAGCTCTATGAAGGAAACTGATTTTGTGTATCAGCACATTATTTCTTTTTTCATGGGTTTTTTTTTTTGGTACAGAGGAAATGAAACAATGTAACAAGTTTGAAACAGTGAGGCTAATGTTTTTTGTTTCCAGGCTTTGTGATTGGCTGATGGCTTTGGAAACAGATCTACTCTTTTAAAGAAGACAAAAACAAAAAAACGCCCACGCAGTTTCAAACCCAGCAGCCTAACAACTAACTACCCCTGCTAGTTCCCTGCAGCCCCCTTTTTCCATCCGCTTCCATTCCTCTCTGTAGCATGACGGAAACACTGCTGTGATTATGGTTTCTGCATCATCCTCCTTGAGTAAGAAGTGCCTTCCGACACACAGACCGTGGATTGTGAGATCTAACCAAAGCAACGTCTTTGGGTTTTGAGTTTACCATCGCTGACCGGAAAGTTTACTTGGAATCTTCAAAACCGCTTTGCCACATTTCCTTTTTTCCCGGCTGTGAAATGCCATGTAACAGCATCAATACCGAGTATAACCTGTTAGCCGTGGGTGGCAATCACTAGACCCGAATTCATCTCTAAATATTTGTGGTGGTGTTTTTCATGCATCAAAATTATGACTTTTTTTTTCTTGTTCATTCTCCAATACTGAAATTACAGCATTTTGTGGGTTAATCACAAAAGTTTCCAATGACAATCAGTTTTAGGCAACATGGGAGTCTCTCAGTGTCAAATGTAATCATTTTTAAAGGTGGGTTCTGTTTTTGTTGTTTGTTTTTTGGCACTGATGCTCTTTTGTCTTGGTTTTACATTTGAACAGTTTCTAAAGTACAAGCGCTTATTTTGTGTTTCGCTGTCGTCACTTTATTTTGTGCAAAATATTATATTAAAAAAAGAAAAACCGCAATCATGTAATTAATTTTATTAATTTAAGCCACAGATGATTGTTAGCCTGCATCACAGAGTCCACTGATACAGTTGCTGGCCACATTTAACTAAGCTGTTGTATAACTGAGTTGAGTCTTAGCTCCAGTATAGTAGTTCCATTGCACTGGCAGCTGTACTGAGAGGACTGGAGAAACTTCTAGTTGATTGTGTTTGTCATTTGCCGTTTTATTTTCGTTCACTGTAGCTATTCACTTGTTTGTAGAAGTGTCATGAAAAGTTGTTATCATTACTATATGATTGTGTTTGTGTCTGTCATGTTTTGTTCTCATAGATTATAATAGCACTTTTAATACATGAGTGTAGGCCTACAGTTTTCACTAAATGTACATATGTAATGTTTTTGATGATTAAAAAAAAAAAGGTAATAAATTCAATGTTCTGCCATGTATCAGATTTTTTTTGCCCTTTATGCCATCAGGATTCTCATTAGGTACATGTAGCATTCTTTTACTTTTTATTCTTTACGCTTTAGTTAAGCTTTAGGGGAAAACAATATTGTAATGGGGAAAGTTTTGCAATAACACACAAGAGGAGTACAGTCATGTGAAAAAGAAAGCACCCCCTCTTTCAGTTCTAAGGTTTTCCGTAGGAGGGATTAAAAAAAATCAGGTGGTACATAACAGGTCTTAAATTCGGGTAAATGCAACCTCAGATGAATCAGAAGGCACTGCATGTTACCCTGGCATATGTGTTGTTATTCATTCGATAATGGCTGAGCCAAATTCAGAAGCAGCGTGCGGAAAAAAAAAAAAAAAGTACAAGCTTACTGCTTCCACAAGAATTATGAGGTTCAGTAACAGTGATCATCGGGAACTGCGAACCTCTATGAAAGCTGATGTTTTACTATTTAGCCAAGGACGGAAGACGTCAGTCATTTTCTTAGGGTTATATTTTCAGACAATTTAAAGTCCACGATTCTGCAGCGAGAAAGATTATTCACAACAAGACTGCATGTCCCAGCAAATTCACCACGAGGTCAGGCTGTGCAGCGCTCACTGACACTGCACCCAAGAGCTACCTCTCAGACTCTACAGACCTCAGTTTAAACATTAAATGTTAAAGTTCATTCCAACAAGACGGATGTGTGGCTTGTTTACAGGGAGTGCAGAATTATTAGGCAAATGAGTATTTTGTCCACATCATCCTCTTCATGCATGTTGTCTTACTCCAAGCTGTATAGGCTCGAAAGCCTACTACCAATTAAGCATATTAGGTGATGTGCATCTCTGTAATGAGAAGGGGTGTGGTCTAATGACATCAACACCCTATATCAGGTGTGCATAATTATTAGGCAACGTCCTTTCCTTTGGCAAAATGGGTCAAAAGAAGGACTTGACAGGCTCAGAAAAGTCAAAAATAGTGAGATATCTTGCATGTACAAAAACAGTGTTTTCACACTTTCTGCAGTTTCGTTCAGATGAAAAACACAAGGCCTTTACTCTACTTTTTAACATTGTTTCTGTGCATGCCGTGCTAAAAGCCAGAAAGCGCCTCTTCAGATCATTAGTGGCTTTGCGGGTGGTGGTTAACACACTCTTCTTTGACTTACGCTTTCAAGCTGAGGTTTCAGATAGAAGCAAACACCTCATTCTTTGCATCTGTCATTTTGGTTCACAAACAGATGTTTGGCACACTTCTTATCTTGGCTGTTTCATATGGTGGTTTGACAGATCGTTTTGTGTTTCTTTTTCAGAGAGCCAACACTAAAAAGTAAGCAAAGGGTTAGACATTGAAGTTACAAATTTTATTTAGAACGTAACCTAAATCTGACAGATTACAATGAAAATGTCACCAACGGGAAAGAAAAATCCACCTGCAGTAAATTATATACAGGCGTTCAAATTTGCAGACATCTCGCAAATTGTCTGATGAAATCGAGCAGACTCTGCAGTCACTCGCCGCTTTGCAAAATGCTGGATTTTTATGCGGGCTGCTTTCCTTTTTAGATCATCACGGCTCATCTTTTGCCCACGTGTCACCTGGTACCTCTTTGTGGGTTACAGGAAATGATTTGCTTTCTTAGAAACGACTACAGTCATCGATGATTCTGTCCAATTAGTCTACAAACTCAACTACACCTAACACAGGAAAACAAAAGGAAGCAGAGGCAGTGACACAGTTTTATTCGTACCACATGAAATCGTTTACAGTCACACACATCAGTTTCAGTATGGTTGGTCACGCTCGCGTCATCTTTAGTGCCATCCCAGAAAGTACAGCTGCAGATTCTTGAATTGGAAGCGAATTGAAAGCAAAAAACAAACTGATTATATTGTCCCTTTATGCTCCACATTTGTCTTGTTCTTAGCGGAATAGCCCGCATATCCATTACTGCCTCTGCCACTGCCTCCACTTCTATGGAGATAAATGAATTAGATTACACAAACAGCACACGGCTTAACAGTACTACAGCATCATAAACCCTAAATATTGATTTACGAAAGCAAGCTCGGAAAAACTCTGGAAACAAAACAATAAATACAGCTTGGAAAACTTTTGACAGCTTATCATAAAATCATTTTTACAACAGGAGAACAACGACAGGAACAAACACTCATCAATAAACAGCAGGCACACAAAGTCTGAGCAGCTACAAAGTAAGCACAGGATTAGCTAATTAGAGCTTAGCTCCTGCGCGCAGAGTGTGATGTAACTAGAATGCAGCCATCCCAGACACAGAGCCCGTTGGGGTAAGTAACGGTCTCAAGTGATGGTACAGTGCTGAGTGACTGCTTTTCTCTTCCGTTAGATGATTAGACACCATTGTCAATCCCTGAATGGAAACCAGGAGGGATGAAAGTAAAAAGGAGGGCAATTACAAAGGCTTTTGTCAGTCGTTTTACTCGGGGGTTAGAGAAGTGAAAAGAACGATTACACGGCCCTTTGTCTTGTCTTCTGCGTGATTGTTACTGTCAAATACTGTTATGGCCAAAACAAATATTTCCTCAACAGTAATTATGCAGTACATACTACATTTAATTAGAGTGAGCAAGGCTGGACCCAAACAGCCCCTGTCAGCGTTCTGACTCGCAGATAAGCACCAACTTGTTAGCTCATTTGAAACCACGGCCTGAATGCTAATCAGTGTCAGCGTGATCCACGCATATAATTACAAGATATCAAATAAATTATTTGTTCATGTCAACACAGGTGGATTTCTTCTTTTTTCTCAGATAAACTTCGATGCGCTTTGTTTGTGAAAGGCTGGAAGGCGCACGCACACGACGCTGTGACAGATCGACATCATCCAGTACCTCGCATTCGTGCGTGTGTTTATTTATTACACTGTCGTTGGTGCGATGTGGTTTTCATGGATCGGACGGTCTGTACGTTGGCATAAACGGGACAGTTTCTGATCTGTCTGGACTTCTTTATCCTGGGACACATGGGGATGTTCTCATAGAAGTTTGGCTGTGAGGATGTGAGGAAGTGAATGTTAATGCTTTTTAAGCCATTACACCAAAACAGGCAGTAGAGGTGAAGCAGCTTGGCAAAATGTAGTTACTTTTCCCACCAATATGGGCTCACGCTAATAAATAACACATTCATATTATATCAAAAATGTGTAAAAAGATCAGCTAATTATTAAAGAGCTTGTGTATTTATTTACATCAAATAATCAAACTCAGCACATCGATACTGTAATAACATTTTAACAAGCTGCTTGTCTTCAAAGACACTTTCAGTTAACATTGAAGTTAATTAGCATTAGTTAAATGAGTGGGCGGTGCCATTAGCTGAGATTAGCTGTAAAGGGTGATGGTTTTGTAATTAAGTGCAAGTCTGATGAGAAGGTACGGGAGTGCCTTAAAGGTGTCGAGAGTAAAGAGGAGAGTAGATAAAATGAACGTGGCGATGCCTACCTGTCTCTGGGATGGATGCAGTTTCACTCTGTACTCCTTTCTCTTGTTCCTCTTTCTGCAGGGTTTTCAGACAAAAAGAAGGATTTTCATTACTGTTCAAAAAAAACAAACTTAACTGCGCTGCATCAGAAGATTTCCAAGATAGTAATGATATTTTCTTATGAACACATTTCTTCAAGGAGCACAGGTTTAAACACTTAAAGAGTGACATTTGATAGGCATGTATGGAGCTTGAGATGGAAGCATGCTCCCTGCTAAACATCAGTGTGTCAGCGTTATCACACTATGAGCTGAACCATCGGTGTTCCCTCCGTACTTATCTGTGTTTATTGACAGAGCACCCCTTACTTTAGTTTGCTGATATCTTACCTGTGCCTCATTACTGCTATGATGATGGCAATAAGTAGACAGAGTCCAGCAGCTCCAACCCCGATGTAAATGTACATCATGTATAACGACAGGCTGAACCAACCTGGTTATGTGTAGGAGCGAGAAAAACAGAAGAAACAAAAATCAAACAGGGAAAAAAAACAGTGTGAAAATTAGTTTTCTGAATAATTCTATGTCATACAGCAGTGTCTGATTAGTGTTTTCAATTTGTTCCATGACACACATATGGTGCAACCACTGCTTTTTCAGATACGCAGTGACAAAGCTCGGACTTTTAGCCACAAACCTCTGTGGCTTCAGCGCACTGAGCAGCTGTGAATGTGCGAGTGACATCACATGCTTTGTTTTCTTTCATTTCATTATCATCGCTGGCCTTATTTACTTCCATCCCCTTCTTAATGTCAATTCACAACTAATTTAAACAATCACAGACACACACACAGCTGAATGTATGCATGTCTTCAACTTCATGGTGCCTGCTTCGTACCTGAAGCCACAGTGGTGAGCTGCACGGTGGTAGTTTGCTGTCCTGCATCGGTGTTAAAAGTACAGCGGTAGAAACCGTTGTCTTCCTGTGTCACGTCAGTCAAGTGCAGACTCATATCCAGGCTGTCCTCACAGCTGACCCGGCCCCTGTCGCTGTAGTCCTCCGCCACCAGGCCTTCCTCCACCTTCTTGCACACTCCAACAATGGTCCACGACTGGCCGTGCAGCATCCTCTCCAATATGACCTGGTTAACGGTGCCATTATGCTGATAGTTACATCTGATGGTCAGGTTGCTGTTCTGCTGTACTAGCAGCTCTTCGTTTGAAACGGCCTCCTGTGTGGGAGTGGGCTCTGTGGGGTCTTCCTCCGGTGGCTCATCTGTAAGCGAAAGAAAGGAATCTAAAAATATGTGATGGAAACTACAGTATGGCACCTTTCTAGGTTTCATATTTCACCATTTTTAATCACTAAGCGGGGGAGGTGGGAATGATACTAGACAGCTCAGAACATGCGCTCTGACGCTTTCTGCCATATTTACCTAAATCCTCCACCTGAATGTGCCGGGTCCAGGGTCCCCGAGGGAAGGTCTGAACAGAGCACTCGTAAAGCCCGATATCCTGATGGGTAACGTTCTTTATGGAAATACTGCCATCCATGGGACCGTTCTTCAGGAACTCCACTCTCCCATCGAAACGATGTGATAAAACCACTCCAAAATCAGGGTGGAAAACAGCCACTGGATTTTTTTCTGACCTTTTTGTCCAAGACACCATGCTGAGGTTGCCATCCCAGGGGCACAAGCAATGCAGAACCATCCCCTCCTCCAGCCTAACTGTAGCAGGCACTCTCTGCTGGACAGCAACTGGACAAAGGCATTGTTTTTTCTGTTGTTAACATATGAGTCATGACACAACACAGATAACAAAATAGCCATGAAGCTACAAAATTACACATTTTTAAGAAGGAAGGAATAAATCTAACGTTCATATTGTTTATTCTATAATAGTTTTCCTTTACTGGCAGAGAACCTCTATCGGGTTTACACATACACAATGAGAGCCCTCTACTTGAAGAGTACCAGAGCAATTCAAAACTCTGAGATCATCCCTTGGCCTATGGTAATTAGGCTAATTTAAGCCAGAACACATAAAAACAGTTGACAATAGCTGGTGATCAAGCCTCCAAGTTTTTCAAAGCCTTTTATCTGAGCTGAATGACAATTTGTCTCAAATCCAGTGAAGCCCTTGGGAGAGCCAAGTCTGGAATAATAATGTCTAGAAAGACTTATGATTACAGGCTTATCGACTTTAAATAAGAATGAAAAGTTACATTTTGTTTGTTTTTTAATGATTTAGATATCAGAAAATGATTTTGTTAGATTACTTTAAAACAGCCTTAAAGGCATCAGTTTTAAAATTGTTAGTAAAAGTATTTGTTACAGCACTTTTTCCAATTAAAAAACAAACACTGCAAATTCAAAGAAATATATTTGAATTAAAAAATAAAGCCCATACCTTTAAGAAAAGGGAGAAAGATAAGTACCACGAAGTACCAGCAGTCCTTTTGTACAGCTTCCATCTTGCCCCACAGAGGGAGAATGAAAGCTGCATTGATGAGACGAGTGGAGGCACCCAGGCTACACTTCCTGCTAGCACTTGAAGCACTTGAGCTACTGGGGCGCACTTCATGATAGCCCACTGTTTACTCCTTCCACACAGAGGAGCACTTTATCACCAGGACTGGGATTGGATGGTAAACTTGTGACATAATACTGCTTGGTGGCTTTCATGATGAAGTTTTTCTAGAGCAATATCTAAGTATAATTTAAAAATCAAAATCCATAACATATTACAAACTTGAAACTGAAAGAGGAACACATGCCCTGACTCAGTTTCCTGTGAACACCAAAGATTTCTTCCCTGTGTTTCTGGAATACTTTGTGACGATTTTCACCAGTAAGCCAAACGTGGCACAGTGTGGAAAAGCACCTTACCACCACTGCCACCACCACAAACGGTGAACTGAAAACACCAGTGGTCTCAAAATGAAAATGTATCAACTGGAATCAGACCAAACACGACAAGCTAAGATTACTTTAATATAATTCACATTTTACAGATGGAAACGTGGTACAAAAATCCATAAAAAACAAACACCGTTCAAGTATTTAGCAGCTGAGAAATGTTTTCAAGGCACTCCAGTAGGTAGGTGTTCATGTGTTCCTGGTTGCTGTCTGCATCTGTATTTTACAAATAAATAAATAATAAGTAAGCACAAAGAGTGGAATGTGGAAAACCTTCAAATGTACAAATTTGGTACAGAGACAGACGCTGATACGAAACAAAATTCATGCCTACCCTTCTTTGCGATGGTATGAGTCTTCTCAATTCTCAATCTAACAGAAGGACACTTCAAAGCAGTCTTGGCCTTTGAGAGAAAATGAGGAACAGATTATAAAGAGGATAGTAGTTTGTTTTTTTCATAATCAGGAGATTAAAAAACATTGATCATCTTGGATGAAAGTGAGAGAACAGTGAGGCAAATCTCTCTTACAGGCAGACAATCAAGCAGGCAGAGGATTTCATTTGCCACGGATCAGCCATAAACTCAAATACCAGCCATAAAAGCACTAAAATAAAAGTTTTAGTACTAGGATGTGTGTGTGTTTGTACCCTCTGATTGTTATGGAGCAATGCCCAAATTGCAGAAGCTCCCATACAGCGGGTCTCCATCACTTTACTTTCGAGGCAGGATAGCAGCACCTTCATGGCTTTGTCTGAAAGAAACAAAGACGCGCAGATCGTTATGGGGGATTCGCAACTCAATAAGACTTGAAAATGACTTTTTTTGGACACATGCTAGATGCAGGAAGTCTCTTCAGTGCCATAAAAATGAAGAAAAGACCTCAACGAGCTCCAGCTAAAAGAGAGCCCAGAAAAACACAGCTGTAAGCAACACGCTATAAAATGGAGAAAAAAAACAACAACCTTGTTCTACAATGGAAAATTCGCTCCACTCGCACTCGTCTCCAGGCGTGCAACAGCTGGAACTTATTCTATATGACATCCGTACCAGCAAAGGAGATCCACCAAAAGATAAGAGGTGGACGACGTTTGAATCAGTATATAAACATAAAGACTTTGATTCACTGTATAGGACTCTAATGAAGTCACTGTAGGGGGTTGAAAAGAAATAAATAATAATACAAATAGTTATGACATACATAAACAATTACTATGTTTAATAAAGTGCTCATCATTTTTACCCGATTCAACTACCAACGCTGTGGAAAGTCCCAAACCGACAGAGGTTTCAGATACCTGGGGAAAAACTTGCTGTTTTCTTAATGTAAACAGATTAATCACGAGGTCAAGAAAAGTTCAGGATAATTGTTTTCTAAAGTTTTACAGGGTAAACAACATGAAGCTGATCAAGTGTTTACAATGAGCGCAATCGTGCCATCTGATTTTTCCACCCGGCACATCTGGACTGATCTAATGTGTGAACTCTGAACAGAGCTGTGGAAATGGTACTCTAAGCTTTGTAAGGTTGGTCTGCTTATTTTCCAACTTACTTTGAATCAAGATTCCAAAAAGACAACGTGCTCAAACAAAGATGAAGAAGACATAATGGCGACAAGTTCTGGACCCAAACCTGGAGCATGCAGAGAGCAGGCGCCTGGTTCGGTCATTGAATTCAGCCTTGTTGCATTCAAAACACATCTGGAAAACCTGACAGACTTTTTTTTTCCTACTTCAACCACAACTCACTGAAACTTAGAGGAGAGTAACATAGCGAGAACATATTAATCACCGGATTACTGGCTGTGCATCATCTGCTTTTACAGTACAGGTCCCACAGCATTATTGCAATCAAAGTTTCCTTGAAAGTCTCAGTAGCCTCTGCTCAGTAATTTTAATAGCACATATTTTCTATTAAACGAAGGCTGTTGTAAGCTAGTCTAGACCCTGAAATTAACTTTAACTTAACAGGAAAAGAGTTTATTTCATGTGCAGTGAAGTGAACAAAGGAGAAACATTTTTTTCCTCCTCTGCTATTATCTGAGTGGCATATCTCGCAGCAACATTAGTCATAAGTCCGTAACTTATTTAATCTTGCTGATTTTCGATCAAGCAATGAGATTTTATTTTTGCTCATTTTCTCTATTGTGATTGATGGAAATCTTGCTGTATGCAAAACACAGGAAACATGATCTTTCCACAGGAAACCAGATATACGGTCACATAGTTTTTGCACCTGGTCCCACAACTCCCACCTGCAGCGTGCACTGCATGGGGGACACGATCGGTCTTTCATTCTCACAGACTTCCTTCGCTTTCATCTCTGTGTTGTAGAATCACTGATAGTCAGATCTCTGTTGTATTCAGCCCACATTTGCAAACATAAACTTAAAAGGGCTTAATATATTTTGGTAGCTTAAATTCTCAAAGCTGTTACTGATACCACTCAAGTCTCCATTCTCAATTCAGAAGCTCTGCATCACAATAATATAATATGTGCACTACACCTAGTATATACGATACTATTCATACTGTGTGTACTTTCAAATGTCACTTTCTGTTTGGTTTCAGTTTAGCAGTCCTGACAATATATCCCAGTCCAAGCGTGCCAAAGTTTGGCACGCACGAGTCTGTTTTGTTTTGATTATTTTTTTTGCACATGATGTAAAACTAAGCAAATAAACAGCGTGAGAGTATTAAATAAAGACCAGACTGTTCATTTTCAGTACATTTGATATGTTGCAAACTTTTAAAACAAAGCAATGGTAAGTGGTGTGTTTTATTTTCCCTCCTTACAATCTGAGTCAGTGAAGCCTAAGCAACTAACGTGTGGGCCCATTAAGCTTTTGCAACTCTACAGATAGGTTTGTTTAAAAAGGAAAATCTGATTTAAATTTAATGATCACTCTTTTACAAGTTTGAGGTTCAAATAATGCAAATAATGAGACCTGGACAGAGCAACTTAAAAACATGAGACCACTAAAAGAGATCCACAAGTTCATAAGAAGATGACCTGGAAAGGGTAACTCTGGGTAAACTGAAAATCGGGTATGTTTTGTTTTGCATTTTATAGTTGCAGTTAAAGAACGTTATGATGGTAGCACAGAAGTAAGAGAAACTGATCTAAGATGGCTTACTGATGCAAATGGGCTACCACCAGAAAGCACATACCTTAGGTGCACCACAAGTCCCTCTGTGGTTGATGACTTTTACGAAGAGTGAACAAAGTGACTCAGCAGGGAACATTTAGCTGCACTGAATTTTTCCCTAATCACTGACTTGCATTGTGGACACACAATGCTGACAAATCTGCTTACTGAACTTCCCCTTTTGATCTTTTATTTCTTTTTTTCATATCCCTGAGTGCGATTCCTAAATGTAATCCTTGCTTAACTTCCATACCATTGGCAATGACGTGTGACTTGTTGGCAGGGCAGAAGCAGAGGTTCTGAAGGGTGAGCAGCGCGTGCCGTCGATGTGGTGCCAAGTCTGCCAGCAGTTCCAGCGATCCGGTCAGCCTGAGGATACTTTGCTGGCCGTCCTCTGTGAATGAGAGACTGGCCAGCAGTCTCAGCCATAGGCCCAGAAGGCTCCAACCACTACTTACAGACGTGGCTTTAACACCAGCAGCCTTGGGCACCGGTACTGACAAGAAGGCTTGAAGGAAGTTATTCTGAGAATCACAGAAATGAAACAAGAGTGAACAGAGATTAAAGTTTCAGTCATAACAACAGTGAAAGAGTTTTAGAGAGGGCAAGAGCGAGATTTCCTAACATCATTTTTTAACCTTTTTCATTTTAATCTGCTACTTGTCTTGCCCACTAATTCTATGTACATAATGTCTCTTACCTTCTGCAGGAGACATCTGCAGTCACGGGACATGACTAGGTTAGCCAAGAGGGAGAAAGCCAGATTCTGGATGATGCTGTTATCTGGGGCAAGCGCTGAAGCCAGCTTCATGACAGAGTGCATCAGTGAGCTAGTGGAGGAGCTTTTAGATCCTGGTACAAGGCCAGGGCCACTGCCACAAAGAGAACTGCATGCTGGGAACAGAAGAAGGAAAATGGCTTTATTAATCTGCTCTTATTCATTTATATTTATAAGAACATTAAAATAAAACATGCTTATTCTGCCCTTTGTGGATGTCTGGATCTACATCACCACACACACACACACACACACACACACACAACAAACAGCCACACACACACACACACACACACACACACACACACACACAACACACACCACACACACACACACACACACACACACACACACACACACACACAAAATCAAATACACATAAAATCACATGCCTGTACTACACTGTGAAATCTTGTGTCTGGACTAGAATCACAACTTCTCTCGCCAATTTCAGCATTAAAAAAAGTCAAACACACATACAGTGAAACCAATTTTTTCTTGTTGTTGGAAGTACTCTCTGGTTTTTTTTTTGTTTACCTTAATGCTGGCTAGCTCGCCAGACAGCAGCACTAGTAGCTGCATAAACAGGCCTTGTCTTGCACGGCTGTCTGCCCACCACACCTAAACATCTCCACGCGGCTGCATGGAGAGCTTACTTTGGTGTAAAGACAGTCTAGCTAAATGACCAAAATGATGGAGACAAGTGGAACTTGTGCACCAATACAGAACATAACAT